GGGGGGGGGGGGTTCAGGGAGGAGGAAAGAAAAAAAAAGAATAACAGGAAAATGAAAAAAATCATTAAAGATGGTTGAGCAATAATAGTATAAAAAGCTGTTTGTGTAAAAGATTTGTGTGTAATTATAGGAATATCAAACAATAGATTTTAGTGAACATATTACATTAGAATTGGATGAAGAGTATTAACTCAACTGAACTAATTTATTTTCAATAGAGAGTGGCAATAACTACAATCTCACCAACCTAATTACCTGAATGTTTGTGTACCCTTTTCCAACTGTTGCTCATATGTCCATATGGGGCTGTGTTATTATTTTATATGGTGAAGAGCACAGTTTTAATTGGAAGCTGTGAAGATGCCTAGAGCCAAAAAAGAAGTGGATTTTGTTTTTGTGGTAATCAAAGAGTCTGGAAGAAATAGTTCTGCATTTGGAATGGGATGAAGAATGTGTCAAGATTGGTTATTTTAAAAATTAATGACAAGACAGGACCACCCATAAGGAAATAATGAAAAGCTTAAAGTAATTTCATACCTCTTCCATGGTTTAAATTGAACAATCTAATGCATCTAATTGAGTGATGCGAACCTGTGTACTTTGACTTCTGTTGTTAAGTGTGGTTCGTGCAATGGAGTTCTCTAGTTCTAGAGGAGATGAGTACTTTTTCAGCAGCCTGCAGCAGGTATCAAACTGTGGGATACACAGAATGGAATGGAAAGTACCAGAAAACTATAGAAGGAAAGATATACCCTTACCTCAAGAGCTATCACAAAGCTGTCCAAGATAATTAAGATAATAATGAACTATAGTTTTCTGTTTAACAGTTCACCACAAAGATCCTAATGACTTAGCTTAATTCACATCTCCTACTAATCATTTGATCAGTGCATCTGATAAATATTATAGAGTTCTTACTACATGCTACAACTCTGCTAGGCACTTGAGAGAGTGTGCAATAAAACATGTTGCCTTTTTCCCAGAGCTGCAGCAGTGCAGGGACACAATTAGATCACAGTGTGATCAGAACACTTAACTGTAATATATTGTGGTCAGGTTCACAGAGTGTCTGAGGTTACACTACTAACTCTATGATAAAAACTAGAACTCTGATATTTCTTGATTCTGAGCTCACTGTGATTTCTTTTATAGCAGTGCTGCTTGTTACATGTATTAAATATGAGCAAATTATTATGAGTTGTAATTTCAAATTAAGAATCATAATATATTTATTTGAAAATCACCAAACCTGGACGCAGTTGGATTGACACTTCCCCTGGTGTCACCTGAGTATTAATTTCATCTTCACTTGGTATTATGACATGCACAGATGGGTATTCTATGGACTCCACCATGCAGCCTTTGCTTATTAAATTGGGAACAGTATCACAACGTTCACTCCTTGATCCACCTGAAATGAAATCCTGTTTAAAAGAAGGAAAATCACTGATTTTTTTACTGCATATCATTTCAGTTATAACCAAAGAAATCTTAAGATAGAAAATACTGCCCAGACACCATTTCCAGTGTAGAATAAATTACGCAGCTGTTTAAAATAGCTGCATGTTTTTAATAAGAGTGCTGGCAAATTCATCATGAATAAAACTGAAATTTCTAAATCTCATTTAAAAAGAAGAAATGAATTATTAAAGAGGAGATTTAAATGAAGCACTTTTAATGTTAACTGATCACTGTAAAATTATACCAACTTAATTCTTTCCAAATATTTTACTTTGAAATGATAGATCCAAAAGAAAATTTAGCCAAAATAGACCATTCATTGCTTCCAAATGTGAGCCTCAGTTCTCAAAGGATTCAACTGGTATTATTATATATTGTTATGTTTGGAATATGAAAGCAAGTCTTTAGAAATCATGTGCCTAATTAAATAAATTCATAATAGAAATCTAATTTCTTAGACCATAAAATTGCCAAGCTTCTTATACATACAACAGTCTATAAATAATTCAATAAATCAGAGAAAATGCTTGTGAAGAGATAGAATGATTTGATTAAAGCTCAAATTATCTTGATTTTGCAAGTAATTTTAAAACTTTTACTATCATTCAACATTAAGTAGCTAATAATTATCCAAGAGCCATGCAAGTAACCTGAAATTGATGGAATAAGTTTTAATTTATCCTCACTGAGAAAAAAAAGATATTCTTTTTCCTATAACTATTCTGATTTTCCCCTAAGAATGGAAAATGTATTGAAAATTATTGATATACATTTTTTTGTTTCTTTTTCTTGTTCATACACTATGATGTACTTACTACGTAGTCCAGGCTGGCCTTGAACTTGCAGCCATCCTCCTGCCTCAGCCTCCTGAGTTTTAGGATTACAAGTGTGCACCTCCATGCCTGGCTATGTTTTATTTTCTATCTTGCTGCTCTGAATTATTTGGGAAATATGCTTATTTAGAAGCAGGATGTTTTCTCAGTGCTCCTCATGACAGTGGCTATTTTGATATAGCATTTGCTCATTCCTCCTTTACTTTAGATGACTCATAGAACTGTGTTTCTAATCAGTTACTCATTCAGTTAAAACAGGTTGATCACATACTGCACAGGGCAGGTGTTGAGTATAAAAGCAAAGCAAGTTGAGTCCTTAATTACCAAAGTCAATAGGACATGGGTGAACTTAGTAATTAATCAAGTAAAATAATTATCATGAGAATTAAATTTAGAAAGGGACAGAATGTCAAGAGCTATGTAGATGGTGTCATCAAGTTTATGTGGACATGCATGTTTAATACAAGCTCACTAATTAAAAACAGGGACATTCTGGCACAGGTGAGCATTAGCTAAGATGATGGTATATAAATAATAAGGGATTTTTCCAACAAAGGTGTCAAAAGCTACTATAGTATGAGTCACATCCTTCCAGAGAGACACAAGCTAAATGGAGGACCCAATTCTCCCAAGTGTGGGGAACACTGAGAGTATGTTAGGCTCGGTACATGTTTACTCATTCATGACTCACCTGACTTGCTACAGATAAAGGGCCATATGCATTTTGCAGATGTAAGTGTCCCAAGATTTCAAATCATGGAAAAGAAATGATGTACAAATAACTTTAAATTTTCTCTTCAGCCAGCCAGGGGATCTATTATTTGTGTATACAGAATGGAGAAGAAGGGCAGGGCAGTTAATTTACTGTAACTATGCATCAAGCTATTTCATGTGATCTTTAAATGTCAAATAGTTTTGCTGAAATTGTCAAAATATTCTCAATTATTTTGCAATATCTCAATCAGCATAGCTGTTTTTACCCCATTATAAAAACTAAGTCAAGAAAACATTGCCAGTAGGCCAGTTAGGTTTGGAAACGGAGGAAAAGACCAGGGACATCAAATTTAAAAATGGAATGCTTCTCCTACCCATTGTGGCCTACTTTTCACTTTGTATAAAAGCAAAGCAATTGGAAACAATGCCCTTTAAATTTTGGATGTTTTGTATCATTTTAATTTCTCCTAATCCTCATGTTTTACTTTTTCTACAAGAAAATCGCAGGCAACTTCTGCATCTAAAACCTAGCTGAGAATGAAAAGTCCAGGATGATGATACTGTGGCTGGCTTTGTATCAATTGTTACTTTATCCATTTTAATATAACATTCTGGTGATATACATAAGACAAAGTCTCTCTCTGATTTCTGAGACTTTTTGACTTCTGGCACAGGAGTGGAAGAGCCCTGTCATCTTCCTTTAGGTAGTGAATGTTCTTCTTATAGTTTATGACAGTGGTGGAAAACCTACGGCGTGTGTGCTGCAGCAGGCTGTTTGTATCATTTAACTTTTTAGGTTTGCCATCACTAACTTAGAATAACTATCCTCCCAGGCTCAGCTCTGAACTTCTGTGACACCCCGTGTCAGACATATCAATCAAGAAGAAAGTTCTTCAGAACTTAACATATCTAGCACAGATGTTTACAAGAAACATGGAACACTGCACTAAGTAATATCCGTAAGGTCCTTTCTATCATAATGAGTTTTCTGAGTAGTTTTATGTAGTATAGAAGCAAAGAGAAGATACAGGATACAGAATGGAAGATTAACATGCTACATAAGAATGCAAGCAAACTCAGAACACCCTGTGTAACAATTTTAGTGGCTTTTTTACTTTTGACAAACTGAAAATTATTCATGCCAGGTTTATTTTGTGACTGTTCTCATCATGGAAAAAAACAAAAACAAAAACAAAAAAAACCAAAACAAACGTCCTCCTTCTCCCCTTTTCTTCCAGCCTTGCTAGTTGAGAAATAAGAGACACCAGTTGCATCTGTGCTTCAGTGACAGGTGACCTTCCCAAATTCAACAATACATTGTGCCTGCTTACGATTCAAGTCAGCCTGCAGTGAATGGACAGGTCCTTCTTTGGTGCTGTGGATGATAACGGGAGTCCTGTCCAAACATACTTCTCCTGACTTTGTAATTTTCACCCATGCAATGTTCCTCATTTTCTGAACTACACCAAATCTGTAGAGTTACAACTTCTGGGTTTTAAGCAATGCCTGTATGCCGCATGCTTCTCACATATTGTTTCATACATCTTCACACTAGCACAAGAGAGGTACAACTAGTATTTCTACTTTACAGCTAGGGAAAATTGAGATTCAGAGTGATCAAGTAACATGCCCAAGTTTGCATTTAAAAATTGGTTGACCTATCTTTTGAATCTAGCTCAGGCCCTTTAGAACCTGACTTTTGAATAAATTAGATTACACCACGCTGTGTAGAATACTTAGATGTGTGCACAGCCGAGTGACTTTCTGCATGTGTTTCTTCAGACCCCATCTGAAGGACTGCCAATGCAGGACCTAGGTTTGACTCCTTCCCTTGGACAGTCCTCTTCCTTTCCCGTTGTCTCACTTTCTCTCATCTGATTACTCTTCTTTCTGAAAACTCCAAATCCCTCCTTCTCTGGAGGGGCTGACACCCCAGAGCTGTGACTTTGCTGACTTTTTGTGCCAGTAAGAGTTGTGAGATGGAGCAGGGGACCTTCTGAAATCTGCCGACAAAATGACTGCTATCTGGGCTTCTGAACCATTGTTTAAAAGTCCCTCCAAACTTCCCTCCTGTAAGCATTCTGTAGCCAAGGTCAGTTTGGCTCAGATTTTAGAGCTCGAAGACCCTTCTTTGGTGATACAGTAAGACTTTAAAATAGAGTACTGGCTTAGAGTTGGGAAATACCAAGCCATGAAATATTCTTGATGAAACCTACAATTAAATTCCAAATTTGAGTTTATAGAGATGAGAACAGGGAAGCTCCAAGAATAGATGAATTCTGTCTTGTTCTTGCTTATCGGAAATGATGGGACTAGATCTAGACATTCTAGAATTGGCCTCTGTATGATCTTCATCACCTGTCTGCACTGGCTGTGGTGAATCACTTCTTGGTGTGTGAATGGCATTGGATTTTCTCACTGGTGGAGCCTAGAAGATATCAGAGGAGCTTCTGGCTGTCAGCAAGAAAGCCTGATTTGTGCTTTGTGTGCTTCTGCACTGCCTCTAATCTGACTTGGTTCCGAGAAGGAATCGATGCCTATGCCCAGAGTCTTTGGCTACTTTTCACTTTTCTTTTTCCTTCTGGGGGATGTCTCAGGACAAGCAGTAACAACAAAGGGTGGAAGGACGATGGTGAATATAGTGGTTGTGTTAAATCAGAGGAGGCAAAAATGCGAGATTTATCTCCATGTCAAACAAAAGGTCCTTAAAATCCTATCAGTTCCAATTTCCAGAAGCTACATAAATAACTGTCAAATTGCCTCGGTAGCTTCATTGGAGAAAAAAATCCCGAATTTAGCAGAAAAGTTTTTCATGGAACTTTTTATATACAGGTAGTTCTTATTCAAAAAAAAGAACAAAAGAAAAAAACCTGCAAAAGTAATTTAGAGTCAAGAATGAATTATAATTGTATACTAAGAATTTTGTCATGAGGATTTGTTTCTCTTGGTAGAATACAAAGATACTAATTTTGAACAATAAACATTTTCTAAATTATTTTTCATTCCATATCATTAAAAAGTACACAGTAACTCATGAATAGGGTCACGTGTCAAGAAAAGCATCATATTTTCCATAAGTAACCAACAAATTGATGCATAATGTTAGGCAATGTAGTACATGAATTATCTTCAAGTATTTCAAATAAAAACAAATGAAATGGACCAATAAATTAGCTTACTTTTCCTTAACAAGCAAATACAAGAGAACAATCTAACTTGGGTAAAACCTTATACCTCAAGCTGCAGCACGAATTTCACACCAAAGCTTGCTGAAATATCAAAAGTCACTATTTGTGTTTGCCAATCCCTTCTATTGGATTTCATATTTAGCCAGATATGCTGTCTCCAACTGCGCGAAACTAAATAAAATTTTCCTGATGCTCAGCATTATCTTTTTTTTTTCTTGATGGGCCTTCAAGGCACAAAATATTAGGACAATGAAATACTGCTGGAGACAAAGTCAAGTGTGAGGAAAAGAAAGAAAAAAAAAAACAAAGAAAAAAGCAAAAGCCTACCTCTTGAACACACCATCCGCATTCTGGACCCAGCTCAAGGCACCTGGCACATGATACTGTATTTGCAGAGACGCATCTGTTGTCTTCTGTAACAGAGGACAAATGAACTAATGAACCATTGGGGTTACTGTCATTAGGTAGGGGTAGCGTTTCAACCAAAATGTATTTTAAACGCTAAAACAAGGTGATCTTTTGTTTTAAATACATGATATGAAATACTGCATAATTTCAATAGAGTTTATAATGTTCGTTGCAACTAATCTATCCTGGGATAATTGCTACTTAGTTTTATAAAATTGTGTGGGGGGGTAACAGAAATGCGATTTTAGACAAATTCTGGGATTTGGTTTGAATTCCACTGTAACACAGCATGAGATCGCCCAAAAGTTTTAGTGCATTGAAGTCTTGCTACATTTTATATTCTCTGAACCAAGTACTATTTTTGTTTTAGAGTTTTTTCTGTAAAAGTTATTACAACTTTTACAGATGTCAGTTTTAGCAAGTAAACTTGTTAAACCATGTTGAGTTATAAGGAATGAAGCTTGTGACAAATAATCTCGATGGACATTTTAAAAATCACAGTGGAAACTGTGTTGGTCATGATTATTTTGGTGTGAAGAATACTGGAAAGCGAGATGATGGCATGCTTTAGTATTTTTGAAGTGAAGTATTTAAACTGAATGAATTGTTTCAGTAAACCCAATTTAAGTTCTCAGATTGGATCTCTTTAAGGTCACTAAGAATTTTCTTTTCCATAGATTCCTACACTAGAACATATTTTAAGAGCAAAATTGTTCCAGTAAATTACTTTTACTTATTTCTCTACGTACTATTTAATGTTAAAATCGGGTTCACTGTTCCATTCTACAATGCAGAATGGGTCACATGGCGTTTTACAAGGAGGTTGTGGTGAACAACATTCCTCTCCACAGTTTGTCCCTTAACAGGAGAAGCCCCAAGGACCCTGAAAGTCACATGTCATTCTATCCACCTCACTCACAGGCACACAGTAAATAAGGTGAACATCCTGGATCTAAGGAACTCAAAAATAAAAATGGTGTGACAAGAGCAATCTCATCAAATTACTATTGGAACGTGGAGCAGGGGGCTTCTCTGCTTCAGAAGCAAGGGCCGGGGTGGAGGGAGGGTGGTGTCTTTAAGGCTAAACCAGAGGCAGTGCTCTCTCTGTTATCTGGGTTTGTTTCTCCTACACTGTTTGCTTTAAAACATGCAATAGGCATTAAAGAAATGTATGTATGTGTGTGTGTGTCTGTGTACACAGTCACACAAGGACTTGGCAGTTTTAAGGGAATGCAGAGCATATCCCTATCCTGTTCCAATTAGCTCCTCCCTCTCCCTCTCGTCCTTTTCCTTCTCCCTCTCCCCCACCCGACTCTGAAGAGAGAGAAAGGGAGCTAAAGCAGAGAAGCTAACTGGTGTCACAGTGAGCACCTGTCCCTGCGCCCCACCCCCAAGCCTGGTTAGGATTGAGTTGAAAACATCCTTCCGTAACATCCTTGATGTTTTATTTCTTCTCAGCATCCCCTTGTACCCTTTTTCCTTGGCTTTTTATCGTCTTTTCATATATATTTGCCACAAGTGCTTCACTGATCTTTCCATATCTGGCCTAGAATTCTAAGAACTAAAAATAACTGTTTTGGGCTCCCTTTGCTCCCAGCTTGGCCACTTAAGTATAAAATCTCCTTAGCCGAAAAATGTTCCATCTGGTTTAGCTTGCAGAATGTAAAAATTGCTTAGTCCTAAAATACTCGAAAGAGTGAGTGACGTTTTTAGTTTTGTTCCCAGAAAAAAAAATATAGGTCTAGGAATGAAACATATTGGCAATCTGCCATGCTTTGAGTGCTTTCCCTGAAATCCATTTGCTAAAATGTGGTCTCTAATGCAATAATGTTAAGAGGTGGGGCCTTCAGGAAGTGATTAGGTTTGAGGTCTTTCCTTGTGAATGGGATGGGGGACCGTATTACATATGAGCGTCACATAGTGTTTGGCCCTTTTCTACCTTCTGCTCTCCTGCCCTGTGAAGGCAGAAAGCCCTCAACAGACACTGAATGTGCGTCTTTCTGTTGGATTCCATAGCATGCAGATCTCTAAGAAATTTCTGTAAAGGCTGGTGATTTAGCTCAAAGGTACAGTGTTTGCCTAGCGTACAGGAGGCTCTGGGTTTGGTCCCCAGTCCTGCAAAATAAAATAAAATAAATTTCCATGGTTTATAAGTTATACAATGTCAGTTATTTGGTTATAGCAACATGAAAGAACTAATACACAGCTCTAACTTGACTTTTAGCAGCTGTGAGCCTTGAGCCAAGTGAAACATATAGGGAGGTCTGTTTCAGTTCACACTTAACCAGTTCACCTTTCTCTCAGCAGGTAGAAAGTTCAAACCACAGTCTCATGGAAGGGAAACTGCAGAGTCTTGGTCTCTGATTCTAATGGTTGTTGGACCCACATTCAAGCTCAGTTTGGGATGCTACTTTCATAGTACACAATAAATTAACAAGCAAAATTATTTCTCTGTATTTACTTTTGTTCAAAAAATTCTACTGTTGTCCTCTCTTTTCAAACTGCATGCATCTCAATATAATGACTGAGAAAGATAGAGATTTTGGTCCTGTTAATACTTCCCAGGTTCCAGGGCTGACATTTCTCAGAGTCTAAGAGGGGAAAAATCCAGTAAATGGATCTGGAGGAGGTAGGCTTTGCGGTTCTGCAGAACTGGAGGAAGGTTATAAATTGAACTCCATGTGAACAGTGTCAAACATTATTTCTGGAGTGTGTCATGGTTATACTTCACGTGAGACATCCCAGATGCATTTTGACGTGACATTTTAAGGGTTTTGTTTTTAATTTTAAAACATGCAAGTAAAATACCTAACATGCACATGTTGCATCAATTATAGCAATTCTCGTCACAGAATAGGCAAATTATCACAAGTGCTGTTAGTAAGCAGTGTGCTAAGGATCCCTCCCCCCAGCCTCCTGTGATAGCAGGAATCTCTACATTGTACACACATCAACACAAAACTGTTCTACAGACATTGGCATCAATCATCAGCCTCCATATCTGCCCAGCTCATTTACCTTCCCATCCCTGATGCAAGCCTGTATGTGGGAAGCCTACTTCCAGCAGTGGTTTCCTAGCAGCCCTCAGCACTACCCGGACACCTCATTAGGGTGTGCAACTGAGTAGTTCTTCTTCCCACTCTACAATTGTGGTTGCTGCTTGTTCAACCATTTGTCCAGTCGTGTTTCATTAGATGTTCTGTTCTTCATATCCTAGTGCTGTGTTTTATGATGCATAATTTCAGATTGATCCTAATGAAAATTGTTTTTTTTTTTTCAGCTTTAACTGAGTTTATTGGTACATTTTAGGGATACAGTACAGTTACATTCATTGTTGTGATCTTGTATCTCTACATGACAAGTCTTGATTCTCATTTTTTCCCCTTAACTCTGGTCTTAACACAACTGAAATAGAATGATGTTTTAAAATATATGTCTGCAGATCCTTGTTTTGCACCTCCTTGCTTTAGTGCTTCATGCCTCGTTAGCAGGATGTCACTAAAGTGTGTTGCTTTGACAAATCAGTAAAAGATTTAACAGCCAATAAGTGCATATTATTTTCCTTTCTTTTTTTTTTTTGATGATGATGATGAGGAGGAGGAAGCATTGCTGAGGTTCCTGGGAAGGAGCTTCCAAATTTCCATAGCTTTGGCACTTACTGTCTGTGTGTTCTCAAGCTAGTTCCTTTAGATCTCTAAGTCTTCCTTTGCTCTACTGTAATACAGGGTTAGCTATACTCAGACCCAGTGCTAATATGAGGATGGAGTGAAACCAAGCATGCCAGATACAGTGGTCAGGGCACAGAAGGCATCAATCAGCAACTCGTCATGTTACTGTAAATAACTGCATACCAAATTACCTCTCTCTCTGTATATACAGACATGTATGGATGGATTCCTATATACGTATTTATGCATATATGCATGTGGGGTGCATATGTGTGCATGTGTATTTAGCTCTGAGTGTAGGTAGAAAAGGGAGATGTTATGTGTCTTTAAATTTGTAGTAAATGAGGAAAAAGGAAGAATCGAGATACATTATGTACAGGTGCAGATTCCCTATGATGAATGTGATCATCTAAAATGTACCAATAAAATTAATCTAAAAAAGTTTTGTAGTAAATGTAGTTAGCTTGCTATCCTTAATGTGATAATCCCTTTAGTCATAAAGTTTAAAAAATATAGCTAACATAAAAATATGTACCTATTCAGTAAACAGTTACTGCATTTAGTTTTCAACATGTATCAGTCCAATTTATTATAAATACAATGGTAAATAACAAAAAACATCTAGAACACCTTCATTTTTTTCATATTTTGTGATACAAACATCAACTAAAGCTGAATTAATTTTAAATTATTTCCCAGAATTAAATGTCTCTGATATCTCAGTAACTGCCTGTCATAAAGTATAGTAAGTATCCATCACCAAAGGAACAGAGCAGACACAAATCAGGAAACTACATATTTCTGATGAGCTAGTCTTCATATTACAAATACTGATTATTTATTATTTTTGAGAATAGCTAATCTATAGAAATGAGAGGGAGAAGCGAATGAGAAAAAAAAAGCCCACAAAAAACACAAGTCTCAATATTTAGATTGGGAACTTTCCATAAGTCAAGTGATTAGATCAAGTGAAAACTATGAGAAATACTGCTCTTTTATTTATTCCTGCTGTAAAATTTTTACAGCAGAGTCTCAAAATAATTTGAAGAGTAATGTAGTTATCTGGAGAAAGAAATAAATAAGGGCAGGGGATTTAGCTCAGTGGCTCTGGTGCCTGCCTCGCAAACACAAGGACCTGAGTTTGATCCCCGCTACCAAAAATATAAATAAATAAATAAGACTGATAAAAAATTGTAGTCCCTGATATTCAGAATTAATTATTTCAGGTTCTCTTATTATTCTTAAATGGAATGATTTGTGAGAAGTGCATTTTTCCAGGCAGCATCTCTTTCCTAACTGCTTTTACTATACACATTTAATTAAAATTAAACTTCAGT